GAAACAGGATAATTCCACGGTAACTAGTTTGTTTTGGAGCTAGTAGTATACCCCCCACTATATGCGGCAAAAGGATGCCGCCATGACGTAATAGAACAAAGGATGACGCAACGGGGGCGTGGCCTCCGCCATATTGGATCACGTGACTTCCATCCGCCATGTTGGATCACGTGACGTCCGCCCGCCATATTGGATCACGTGGTGTTCCTTTGGAATGACTCATCCTTTTCCCGCCATGCCGTGCGTGCTGAATCGCCGAGGCATTCATTAATTTTATTCGGTAAGTATTTATGAAGGATTTAATTAATTATTATTTAACTTACCTAATTAATTTATTAATCACGTGGTCTTTGGAGAACATCGGCCATTTTGTTTTGTACGGTGATTTATGCTGCCCTTCATGACAGTTTTCAAAAATTGCGTGGGCCCGAACCCACGATGTCGAGATCTCCAGCTACGCGCTTTAACCACTGAGCCACGCTTTTGTTACCACAGAAGACTAAAAATTCGTACTTAGAAAAAAAAAGGCAAAGCGTTCAACGAGTTTACCGATCGAAAAGTTTCTTTTAAACGATGAAAGAGGGGTAGAAGACATATATTTTAATTTCTTAATTTTTTTTCGAACATTGATTACCTTCTTTAAGATATTATAAAGATTATTTTATGCTTAATTTTTAATTAATATTTTCAATTTATCAAATGAATTTTTTTTCTTCTAAGTGGGTGATATTATTTTCGAATGGAAGAAATTTTTTAAAATTATTTATTATCTGCAGGGAAAGAGTTAAAATGATATTTTTACATCTGTACTGATTTTCTTGAAGCTATGTTACTGCTGGCGCCATCTAGCGTCCAGAACATCATCTAAAAGTAACAGGATCGTAAAAAAAATAATATGAAAATGTAATATATTTCCTTTTCACGGGGTACGAACTCGCTACCACCCAATAATTAATAAAAAGGGATTGAGGGGGACCGCATCCAAGTCTTTAAGCGATACCCCACAATTCCTTGGTTGATATGGTTCTTAATTATCTGCATAAGGTTTTTCCGTGCTCCGCCATCTTGGATTTCCTCTATAGCCGCCATTTTGAAGAATTTTCTTGGTGGGTAAATGACGTCACCCTTATCATGTTTGTGCATGATTTGGTTGGGAAATGGCGTCTGCCTTTTCACTCCCTTTGTGTAGACATCCGCGTAGGTGAACGAATACATTTCTGTGGACCAATCAGAAAGCAGAAAAATGATGTCATGCCCTCTTAACCAATCCGCGTATTCAGACAAAGTAAAAAGTTCGGAGCCGAGTTTCAACCGCTGGATTGCCTCCGAAATTCATTACTTGCTAAATTTTGGAAGTTGTTACCACGCGTTGCTTATTTAGTTTTGTGTTTGCTTTGTTGTACTGTTGTGCATAATGAAACGTCTAGCTGCAAATTCATGTTTATCATCAAAGAAGTTTTGCGGTGCTTCATATGACGAAACTTTGCTGAAGCTTGATTCTTTGCCAAAGAATATGTTTCATCTCGGAGGGGATATTTTTGTCACTGTATCGTGTTTTTTAGGTTTGACTCGTGTTCACGTTCGGAAATATGTGACTGATGACAACGATTTGCTACATCCTAGCAAAGATGGAGTTTCGCTTTCTCCTCTAGTATGGAAAGAACTAGTATGGAAAGGTATGAGCGATCATACCAATACATTTGCTTCCTTTGAAGGTTCCGATAGTGTTTTTATTGTGAAGAAAGATGTGTGTGTTTCAAAACAAAATGTCAACGGTGAACTAATTATATCACTACAAAGATTGTTCCAAAGAAAAGATTTACGATTTGAATTTGTACCGGAACGTGTTCTGTTGAGGAAAGAACATTTACGCAAACTGGACTCCATATATAGCGAAATATGTGGTGTCGCGAAGGAAACACTTATTTCTAAAACTCTTAACTATTTTGTGAAAAAGCAGGTGGTTGGTGTGATACACATTTTGAATTGAATGAATATGCTGGTGATCCAGACCGTCCAAATGGATTTCATGAGCTGCAGGACTCTTTGTGTAAGTGTATTGAAAAATTTATTTCTAAAAAAATTTCAGAACTTTTTGTGTGTTTTGGTTGCAAACAAGGGATTAATAATCAGCTCGGACATGAATGCTTATCAACAAGCCGTGCTGAAAAATGTGAAACTTATTTTGACCAGGCTTTGTTTACAGTTAATTGGCCTGAGATAGCAAATGACTTCATTCGTGAAAATGAATGTAATATAAATTTTAGTAAACTAATTGTTACTGATGACTTTTTTGATGTTATTAATGTAAATGATGTACTGAATATTATTCAAAATTTATATGTATGTGAAGAAACTAATTTGTTTAAAGATTTACTGAATAGTTCTTTTTGAAAAAATAAAATAAAATATTAGTTTTTATTCACTTTTTTGTATTGCTTTCTTTTTTGTTTCAAAATATTGTTTTGTTTTTTTTAAAAAAAAATTGTATACTTTTTGAGTGACTCGGCATGAATTTTAATTTTCTAACTAAGAAAATACTAAATAGTTAATATTTTTAAAAAAGATGTTATTAGGATTAGGTGAAGCGGGGTATAAAAAAGTATAAATAAATGTTCACTTTGATTTATCATTTCATTTGGGTAGTGCTTGCCCGAGGATGAACATAACTTTTTCTGTTGATAAAAATTCCTGTTGTAATGTCAGAAATTCTGAATCTGACATATCGGGATCCAGCGCAGCCGGCAAGCTTCGGTGGTATAAATGCTTTACAACGTGTTTCTGGAGTAAAAAGCAAAGAAATCAAAAGATGGTTGCAGGCGAAAGATTCTTATACGCTTCACAGACCTCTGCGGCACAGATTCCAACGCAACCGAGTCATTGTAGGGGGCATCGACGAACAATTTCAGTCTGATTTAGTGGATATGCAATCGCTGGTATCTTTTAATAGTGGTTATAAATATTTACTGACGTGCATAGATATTTTTTCCAAATACGCTTGGGCTATCCCTCTCAAAGATAAAACAGCTGTGTCCATTAAATCTGCTTTCAAAAAGATATTTTCGGAACGTACACCCGAGTCTTTACAGACAGATGCAGGGAAAGGAAAAGAGTTTACCAATAAGCAAGTTCAAAATTTTTTGAAAAAGAAAAATATCCACTTTTTTACGACACACAATAATACAAAAGCTTCTGTCGTGGAACGGTTTAATAGGACCCTTAAAACTAAAATGTGGAAATACTTTACCGAAATGAATACACGAAGGTACATCGATGTTATAGATAAATTGATATCCAGTTATAACAACACATGGCATCGAAGTATTAAGACAGAACCTGCATCGGTTACGCTACAAAATCAAGAAAAAATTTGGAAAACTTTGTACGGTCAGCAATCAGCACAAAAACCTGTTCCTTCAGATTTAAAGATTGGAGACACGGTACGCATCAGCCGCGAAAAAATGCTCTTCGAGAAAGGATACGAACAAAATTGGACAAGAGAAATTTTTACAATCCATAAAATAATTCGTCGAAATCCTATCGTCTATAAATTAAGAGATTTAGCGGGGAGAGAAGATACAAGGAACCTTCTATAAACAAGAATTACAAAAAGTAGCGGACTGTGGGTACTATCCTGTCGAAAAGGTACTGAAGACAAGAAAGCATTGGGGAAAATCAGAATACTTTGTTAAATTTCAGGGTTACCCTGAAAAATTTAATACTTGGGTTTCAAATTTGAAAATGATATAAAAACATGCGTACTGTATTTTACTTTTCATTTGAGCGAAAATGTCCTTCTACGTAACACTCATAAGCGATAGCTCTAGGAGATTTTTTCCAGACAATAAAATTTCTCGATTTATTACCCAACTACCGTCTCCTATTGATCTTAGTAATGGGGACTGGGAACTAGCTCTCCTAAATATTATTTACCCTCATTCATGGTATAATGTCGGAAAAAGATAATAATTTATTTGGGTTTGCTGTTCACAATGGAGAACTGGAAGGACGGCATATTCCTCCTGGTTATTATGAAACGATACCGGACATATTAAAAGCTATGACTTTAGTTTCTCATAAAAACAAAATTGAATTTTCTTATCATAACATTACGAAAAGAGTAATGATAAAGACGGATGAACAATCAAAAGTGGTTCTTCACGGAGGACTAGCTGAGCTCTTAGGATTTGAACCGGGTGTTTACGAAGGAAGTGTCCAAAGTCCTTTCGTAGCGAATCCGAATGGTTTTTTTCCCCGTTATGTATGTATACTGTGATTTAGTTGAACCACAAATCGTAGGTGACGTACAAGCCCCCCTTCTGAAAATTGTAACAGTGGAAGGGAAAGACGGAGAGATTATTGACAAACATTACTCTCGACCTTTTTATTTACCAGTGATTCGCCAACATTTTCAAACGATTGAAATCGAAATAAGGTCTCATTCGGGGAGTCTGGTGCCGTTTGAAAGAGGTAAAGTTTTCATAGTGCTCCACTTTCGTTTGAGACAAATTCTATAAAAAGCTTTACCAAAAGAAAAAATTATTCATTCATAGTGTAAACGTTCTAAAAGCTGTATCAAAAATGCTCATTCCATATGCTTGTTGCACCAAACACTTTGAGGATTATTATGTGGGACAAACTGGAAAAGGTCTGCCGTATTATCAGGGAATGGTTTTACAGAAAGGATACGGAATAGGTGGATTTTTTGCGAAACTTTTCCGTAGTGCCATGCCATTTTTAATTAAGGGAGCAAAAACTGTTGGAAAAGAAGCTCTACGTGCAGGAACGCAAATTGCAAACGATGTGATATCAGGAGAAAATTTTAAATCAGCCTTTAAAACCAGATCTAAAGAAAGTGGAAAAAAATTAGCAAGGAAAGCAGTTCAAAAAGCAGATGAGATGATTGGTCACGGAAAGTTTAAAAGGAAACGCAAATCTCCCAAACGCTTCATTTCGTCTAAAGCCAGGAAAGTGCAAAGACGTGACATTTTCAACTCATAATGGCTTTCCTCTTAAAAGATTCTCCAGAATGCGCCAAATCTGAACTCGATTTATTTACATTACCTCCAACCCAAACAGTTATAGAAAGAGGACAATGGATAGAATTTCATCCCCTTGCGAATGTGTCGGATGGAAGTCCTGTCGAATTCAATGTCGCGGGTAGTGGCGATGACTATTTGGATTTATCTCAAACTCAGTTATACGTCAAAGTTAAAATTTTGAAAAGCAATGGCGGCTCTCTCGGAAAAGATGATAAAGTGGGACCCGTGAATTTGTTTCTGCACTCCCTCTTTTCTCAAGTTGATATAAGCTTAAATGAAAGACTTATTTCCTCCAGCAATAACACGTACCCTTACAGAGCCATCATAGAAAAATTACTTAATCATGGTTTTGATACGAAAACTTCTCAATTATCATCAGAATTATATTTTAAAGATACAGCAGGCCGTATGAATGTTTTTGATACTGCGGATAAGCAACCTAATGAGGGATTCAATAAAAGAGCAGAAGAATTTAAACTTAGTGCTACAGTGGATATGATTGGACGGCTACATCTAGATATGTTTCATCAAGAAAGACTTTTGTTGAACATGGTCGATATGAAAATTAAACTTATCCGCAGCAAACCGGAATTTTGTTTACTGGGGGAGGGGAATTTTAAAGTGTCATTGGAACATGCCTCACTATTTGTACGCAAAGTTCGATTCAGTCCAGGTGTAATTTTAGGGCATGCAAAAAGTTTAGAAAAAGCGACAACGAAATATCCTATCAACCGAGTTCTTTGCAAAGTGTATTCCATTCCATCAGGAAATATGAGTTTTGTTCAAGATAGTATTTTTACGGGTCAGATGCCTAAACGCTTAATTGTTGCCTGTGTTGATAATGATGCTTTCAACGGAAACTATAAAAAAATCTCCCTTCGAATTTAAGCACAATCATATCATTTTATTGGAATTTACATAGATGGGCAACCTATGCCTCACAATCCTCTTCAACCTGATTTCATGAATAAAACCTTTATTCGTGCTTATCAGAATTTATTTGCCAATGAAGAAAACCGAGGATTGTATCTTTCGAGATCAGAGTATCCAGAAGGATACTGCTTATTTCTTTTCGATCTATCACCTGACTTGTGTGATGGTTCTCACTTGAATTTAGTCCGTCATAGTAATTTGAGACTGGAGGTAAAATTCGGTTTCCCTCTGCCAATAACAACATCGTTAATAGTCTATGCAGAATTTGAAAACTTAATAGAAATCAATAAATCTAGAAATATTATCTACGATTTTGGTAACTAATGAATTCTTCAGAAATTCATAGAATACTCTCTCATGACAAATGGACAGCAAAGTACTACACTGGAGTTTTCCCTTCAGATAAAATCCCAGATGTTCATCGTTTCCCAGCAGCTATTGTAGTCAACACTGATAAAACACAACGAGAAAGGGACGCACTGGCTGGCTTTCTTCATTGAAAATAATCAGACTTTAGAATTTTTCGATTCTTATGGACTTCCTCCCATGACTTATGGTGATGACATAGCAAAATTTACTAGCAAGTTTAACTGTGTGACATGGAATCAAGTTTCTCTTCAGAGTGTAACATCAAATGTTTGTGGACAATATTGTACTTATTATTTGTTAAAACGATGTCAAGGATTATGTTTGGAATCAATTGTATCTAATCTTTCTGTAAGAAATAGCGATTTTCATGTATTTCATTTTGTGAAGAAAAGGTATGGGTGTAAAAATGATTTTTAAGAAATAAAATATTAATTTGCTTGGAATTTTAGTTTTGTCTTTCTTATTAATAAAGTGCAATTTACAATTTTCTTAAATAACTTTTCTTTTACCTTTTAGTTATAGAATAAATTTTAAAGGTTTCATTTAAGCTTAAAAAATTATTTTCCATTGTTTTCCATTGTAAATTACTGGAAAAAAAAAAAGATTTATTTTACTCATGACATCTGCACATTTTTTAAGGAAAAAAAAAAAACTTACCTTTAAAAAAAAAATCTGGATCATTTTTTTTCAACCTGAAATTAAAAAATATTTTTTCACACATAAAAACACACCAAATTTAACTAATATCTTTCTTTTTATTTAATATTTTATCCAAGAAGTTGAATACAATTTTCTTTTCTTTTTTACACATTTAGGTTTAGCATACATTGTAAACAGATACTTGTTTTTTACAAACTCCCTGGGAAAATCTACAACATCTAAGAATTTTTTAAACTCTTCATAACCTACAGGCTTGGTCTGTTGATTTCTTAACAAATAATTCACCAAGTCTTGAACATTAGAATTATTAATTTTAACTTGGTTCATGATTAATTCTTTAGATGGAGTCCATGTAATAATATCATTGTGAAGTTTTTAAAAAGTCTATAATTCTTTTGGCAATGTTCTTAAATTTCACTGGAGCGGAATTCACAATTTCTTCTTCCATGGTAAACTTTTTCTCTTCTTCTTTGCTAAGCTGAACACTTTCTTGTGTTTCTGATTTTAATTGGGGAAATGTTACATATTTTTGAAGTATTTGAAGGTATTGCTTGGCTTTTTCATCTTCGGATAACTTCTCGTTTAAAATGGTGCTCATTTGCTGATCTAAATCTGATAAATGGTTTTCAGCAAATTCTAATTCTCGATCCGAGGGTACAAGGATAAATTTACGAGCGAACTCCATTAATTAATGTGCTCAGTACAGAAACTGCGGCAGGAATGAGCAACGAAAGAAATCCATCACCTTTTTGTACCAATAGTCTCCGTTTTTTAAATAAGGGTATCTTTTTATCACCTAATGTACGCAAAGTCCGTTTATATACGGCCAGTTTACGTTTCTGTCTTTTAGACAAAGGAACGTTACCCTGTAATACATTTAAAGCACATTCACATACACTTTTAATAACACTATTGGGACATTTTCTTAGAAGAGTTTTTTTTTACTTTACTTTTGCCTAGGAGTTTAAGATGTTCCAGGCTCGACATCTGGACCTCAAATGATTGGTACTTTAACAATTCCTTTCTCTTTTATAAAGGTCGCATAAGCAACCGCTTTTTTGTGCAGATCTTATATTTTAGGACATTTTTTAAATAATCTAATTTTCAAAAAAAAAAAAAAAAAAAAAAAAAAAAATTCGATGTGGCAAATTTTATTCTTTTACAATGTAAAAGAGAGTTTTAAATTTTAAAAAACCTACAAATTAAATCACTGAAGGAGAAAACTTGTTGAGTGCAACAGCAACTAACGGAGTTCATAAACAAAATGCTTATCTGAAGGGAAAATGCCTGTACGTAACCTTAACATTTCTTGGGTTTCTGGTCTTAAATCTATTAGTAAATAACTGTAAGGGTTTGAAGTTGCATCCTGGAAGACTTCCTGAAAAGCCTTTGTTTTCCCGGGGAACATCTGCCTTGCCAAATGTACGACTTGACATTTATCTCTAGGATTTTTGAACAGTATCATGTAATGACAATTCAAATGAATGGTTCGCATCTCTTTACCCTGCTGAAATAAATTTTGAACGATAAATATTATAGAAAGATTTCGGTGATGGCTTCCTTTCGTAAAAAGTTTACTTAAACGAGTATCGCTCGCTAACTCAGACATTAAATCATCAATGATAATTAGTGCATTTTGCAGGGAATTGAGGTTCGATGGTAGTCCTTCTTCAAACTGCACATTTTTCATTTTACTAAAAATAGGTTGATATGCTCCATAGCAATAAATTATACGCTGAGGCATAGGAGAAAGCAGACTTTCTTCGATGACTCGTTTCACAAAATATGTCTTACCGGATCCTGTCGGACCGCTGATGAGAGATGTGGAAGGGTGTTTCAACACAGGCCACTCCATTTTGTGGGGTACTGATGATCTTCAGAAATGTGTGAAGCTTTATATACTCCTCTCGTTTAAGAAAAGGCTAAGAAAAAAAAAAGAAAAAAAGTCAACCACACAATTTTAAAATTTTACTGCAAAATATAATTTTTTTTAACATTAATTCAACAATAACCCTGCAATGAAATAAAATAAATGAGATGCATACCACTTAAAATCCATAGGGAACAGTAGTTAGATCTTCTTTTAGGACTCTTTTGTTGTAAACAATTTTGTACAGTTTTGTTTCTGCCTTAGTTAAAACTTTCCTCTTTTTGGCATCTCTCATGATTTTATGTTCATCGTACATGGCGATTGTTGTTTTTCGATCCATCGAGCACACTAAATTCTTAATCTCCAAAAAATTTAAAATCTGTTGATTTTTGAAGTTGAGGGAGAAACCTCGAACTTTACAGCAAGTCATTCCTCGGGCTGTTACATAAGCGTAATTTTTAGGGCCTCCTGAATGGGGGAAAAAATATGCTACAGAAACTACAAGAATAAAAGATCAACCTAATAAAAAATAAAAATAAAAATGAAGCTCACCAGAGACAAATGTAGTAATAGTATCTCCATTGAGTTCATCTGTAAAATCCCCCAAAAAATTACCAAGAGGCGGATCGTTGGTAAAATCGCTTGCGTATATAATTGAATCCGTGTCATGATACAACACAGCACGGCCCAACTTCTCCATTTCACTGTAAAGCTTTAACCGTGCCCATGCAGTAGTAAAAGCTGCCAAGAACACATTTGTGGATGTGTCCTGTGGAACAAAATAATGTTTATAGTCCCATTGCACAGCAGCTACTTCAGGAGTCGGAAAATATAAGTCTTTGATCTGGAGGAAAAGTTAGCAGGTTGCAAGATTAATCATTTAAAAATATACATCTTAATTTACATTAGAAAATAAAATTACAAAACTTACATTTTTTGTTGGATCTGCTAATAATTTATTGAAATCAGGTAATGTATGAACATAAGTCAAACGTATCTTGTTCAGGTTCATTCCCCATCTTTAAAGAAAAAAAAATATATAAGAAAAGAATGAGCATTTTTTTTAAGAAATAATAAATGATATAAAGATGTGAAACAACTCTTTCTATTAAAAACATTATAATAATTATTTACCGCCCCCAGAAGCTGTTCAAAGCCAATTTGGCTACTTGCCGTCTTCCAGGATTCTTCTTAATATTAAATTCATCAAGCTGCACACCCTCTCGCTCAAAATAGGCTTCAATGTAGCGTTTTCGTTCGGTCGAGCTTACACAATCGGCTGGCCAGCCGCTGCTTTCTTGTTTTATTTTTAAAAACAAGTTGATATAAGATTGAAATAGAGTATCCGTAAATTGAGAAAAATGGTACACTTCATAAATCTGAAAAAAAAAAAAAAAAAAAAAAAAGATAGTGGGAATATGAATATAATAATATACAATAAAAATACATGCTGTGACATTTATAACACATTCAATAATACTAATAATTACCCAAAATACTTACCTTTGTTATACAGTAACCTTTTTTCACTGCTAATTTGACTTCTTCAGTCACCCATGTGCCAATGATGGCTCTCTCATCATCTGAGTGCTGGCAAATGCCTTGATACATTAATTCAGCACAAGTCTTGCAGAGGGGAAACATCAGTTTATTTTGTGCTCTGTACGGCAATACGGGGAGGTATATAAACCTCGAGGAGGCAGTATTCGGCACTTTATAATACCGAAATAGTTTTCCAAGGCATCAAAATTTTCAGTAATAATATTAGGGTGTCCGACGGGGTACAAACAGTATTTATTGACCTAGGAAAAATTGAAAAAATATGAATAATCGGAAAAGCGATTTTCTTTTTAAATAAGACATGCGCGTTTAATAAGATTATTTTATGCCAAAACACAGAAAAAAAAGTATTTACCCATGGATACAGTGAAGTGAAATCCACATACTTTGCATCACCCTCATAATACAGCTGAATGGCATTTGTCCGCCCGCCGAAGAAAGCATCTTTAGGATTCAATCGATCCTGAAGCTCGTGACTTAGAAGAAAATATTTTACTTTTTCATCTGTTTTCTTTTTCATCTCAAACTCATGCTCCCACATTTCAATTACATTATACCCTCGATCACGTAGCTGGTAAGTCTTGTCTACCGTTTGTTGTCGCAATGTCGACATGGGTAATTTTGTTATGGGGTGGAGTGCATCTCCGTCAAAACAGGTGGAGCAACCGTGAAAGAAACATCCCTGCGATAGTTAAAAATTTTTTCGTATAATACCAATAAATAAATAAATTAAAATAATATATTTATAAATAAATAAATATTGAACTCTTACGTAGTATTGATAAACAGTATTTGTTTCTTTGCAATATCCGTCTACAGATATACCATCCAATCGTCTTTCTCCTTTTCCGTTCAAAGCGTGTTCGATTTCAATGCTCTCTTTTTGGGCAATAAAATCAAGCCAACGAATACAGTCAGGACTATGATTCGTGCGATTGATATAACCTCCTACAGGTATCATTGCGATGGTATTAGGTATTATGTGTCGGGATCTGTAAACCGCCATACACGCTGATGCAATGGTTATGTAACTGAAAATAAAACGGACAAGAAAAGTGTAAATCATATATACATAAAGTATACATGCACGTATACAATACGTTGTTACAAAATGACAAAACCATGTAAAAGAAAAGGTTTGTAAAATACCAAAAGGGGTCTACTCCTGTAATTTCTAAAAACTGATTTCTAAATTCAACGCAACATCTACGAAGGATATCAACATCTGATCTGAAAACGAAAAGAGTAAATAAATAAATAAAACATGGTACCAAAAAAAAATACACCTAAAAGACGGATCATAATGAAGGATTAGAAATAGATTGTTGATACAAACCGGCAATACGTGAGAATTTCTTCTTGGAAATCAAATATATCCTTCTCGTGTTCTTTATGCCATTCCAAAAAGGAGGTTCGCACCGCACTAGTCATACAATCAGGATTGTAGTACTTAGGCTCAGGTAAAAATCCCACATAATTTTGATTTTCTTTCTTGTTGAAAAGGTGCGGAAAATATCCTTTTTTTAGTTCTGTAAGGCCGAAACAAGCAGGCAGCTTTGAGAGAGCCATCGGCAGGAAATTAAAAGAATCAATAAGTTTTATGTTGAGGGCGGTATGGGTGATTACCATCACTTTAGAGCCATTAGGGATTACTTCAGGTGCCGTACCCTGTTCTAAAAGCCATGCCATTATAAACTGACCGTCAAATCTGTAAAGAAAAAAAAAATTATTATATTTTAAAAAATGTATTATATTTAAAACAATAGCCCTATAATATATATATGCAGATTAAAAATAATAAGAATACATTTACCCCTTCATATTGTGTGCAATAACAGTGTAATTTTTGTGCACTGTTGTAAACAGCCAAGAGCAGAATTCATGACATGCTTCGTATCCTTTAAATATTTTCTCTTGGCCATCTTTGTACTGCGCTACAGCAAAGTTTACGATGTGTGTTCCCCTGATGATTGGTCAGTTTCGAAATCAAAGAAAATTAATTTATCGGATGGACTTTTCGCAGAAATGAGTTGTAAGAAACAATGATGTTCTGACGCTATAAACATACTCTTTACACGAAGGGCATTTGATAGTCCCGCAACGATGTAAAATTTTAGGACACTGCCGTCGCATGATAACTTTTGAGCATTGTCTGCACTGATACATCTGTAATTAGGAAAAAAAAAGTAGAACAAAGATTTTT